AATGTATTGAAATAAAACATCTGGATAATACATTTCTCTTTCTAAAACACTGATTTCGTTTTAAAATATTTGAAGTAGTTCCGTAGAAAATGCACTTAAGCGGCAGAAAAGCGCTACCGGCGTAGGTGACTTCAGGCCTCTACCACACCACTCAGTACTCATAAATGGCTTAGTTATAGTGCTATAATAACGTTTTTGTTATATTATATTGATTGCATTAACGAAAAAATATTAATACTATAATTTAATTGTGCTAATATCTACTAGTCTTTCACAAAAGCTCGTTTTCCTTTCAGATTCCTCAGAAAATCTTTTGCAATTGCACTAAACAAGAGGAGAGCTATTTTCCTTTATCGATAGATCTCTCTACAACCTGATTCAAAGTGAAGATAGTCCCAATGTGCAACTTCAATAGCAATCGAAAATAAAGTGGTTTTCACCATTATAAACCTCGTTTACTTCCTCCAGACCTGCTTGCCAATTGCTTAGAACAAATCTTTCGTGCTGATATAATGGTCTTCACCATAATAAACCTGCTTAATATCACCCAAACTGATCAAGCATTTTGACCCTCTTTTAGCAGCATCTTGAAATATTCTGTTCTTTCATTCTTTTGTGCAGAGAGAATAATGCATTTAATATTAAAATTTCCTATTTTTTGTTATATGGTCCAACTTCCGAACAACATAAAGGAAATAAGAATGATTTTTTTAATAGTGATATATGAATTTTATTAAACAATTCATCACATATTCATTAAAAGTAGTTCAGATAGGGTATATATTATTTAAGTTTATAAAGCAGATATTAATGACTCATTTCTGGGGAAGTATATACAATTTAAATTACTTCTAAGAATCAGTAAATATATTAAACAAAGCGTAAAATTACAAACATTAAATAAAAAATTCAAGATATTCTGCAAAGTATTTTTGAATTAATTTTTATAATTATAATTATATAATTTTTATAATATAGGCCTTCTTAAGCGACCTCCGTACGGAATAAAGGAAGTTAAATTAAAAAAAAAAATAATAATAATAAATTTAAAAAAAAAATTTTGACAATTAAATTATTGTATTATTTATTTATTTATTTGGTGTTTTGTTGCCTCTATCCTGTAGGGTCATTGGCAACACCTTTAAATTACACTCTGTTGTAGTGTTTTATTTATTTTAAAAACCTTAAAGTTTTTTTTACTGCACTTTCACTGTCTTGTAGATTTTGTATTAATATTTGTTCGTTAATGCAATCAATATAATATAACAAAAACGTTATTATAGCACTATAACTAAGCCATTTATGAGTACTGAGTGGTGTGGTAGAGGTCTGAAGGCACCTACGCCAGTAGCGCTTTTCTGCCGCTTAAGTGCATTTTCTACGGAACTACTTCAAATATTTTAAAATGTAATCAGTGTTTTAGAATGACAAATGTATCCTCCATATGTTTTATTTCAATAAGTTTTGCATTATTGTTGACTGTTTAATTACAAACGACGCTTGATTTTCAGCATGGAAATTTTTGGAAAAATTGACTTTACCGATTTTTTTTATTGCCTAAGCCAATTACTTTTTAATATTTTTTCATGTTTTATTATTTTCTGACTATCCAGCTTTAATAAAAGACCAAGTATGATGAAATTAAGCCAAAGGTTGATTCTCAGTAACAAAAAAACTAACTAAAGTCAAAGTCATTAATCCGTCATGTTTGGACGCCTTTTTGTGGCAGTTCGTTCACTTTTTTTTGTGGGAACATTGCCTTTTTTTTAATAAATTATCACAAGGAACACAACGATATGCAATTTATAGGGATGTGGGGGGGAGGAGATGCACGGTAGGGGGGTCTGGCCCAGACACAATTAGCGAAAGTTTGCCTAGGGTACGTTCTGTAGTTGACCTTATGTTAAGTATAAGTGTTAAGTGCAAGCTTTTGGTGAATAAACATGAGGTACTGAACTGTGGTGACCCGTGGGGTCGCTACTCCCCAAGTATCATTATGCAACAGCTACTCTTGACCACTGAAACACTCACTTCTTGCATTTTCCTATGACATTGTTATTTTCGCAGTAGACGAAAGAAATCTCCAACACAACATCAATAGGTTAAAAGAAGAACTGCTTTAGAACAACATCGTCATAAGCTCTACAAAAAAAAAATAATAATAATATTGAGGATAGTGAAGAAGTCACAAAGAATTATGCGTGTCATTAAAGTTTAAGACACGGTTCTCGAACAAGTGGAAATTTTTCAAAACTTCTGCGCGCACCTGAATGAAAATGGGTATGTTGATACGAAGGTTACTGCGAGAATGGCAAGTGCTGGCAGAATGTTTGAAGCAATCAAGAGAGGATTCCTGAACAGACGAAAGGTGGACAACACAAAAGTTTAGGTCACCGTTTCTCCCCATTCTTACGCATTCCTCGGAATCAAGGACGTTAACAAAAATACATCAATCAAGAATACAAAAGTCAGAAATGAGATTTCTCAGAAAAATTGAGGGGAAAACAAGAAGGGGCCGATTCCGCAACCCTACAATTATGGTGAACCTCGAAGTTAAGCCAGCCCATGAAGTTGCGGCGTGTATAGTAAACTAGTTCACTTGCCCACTAACTGGCAGCACCACATAAGCTCGCTCGTGCAATGTACCAAAAAAATGTATTTTTTATTTCTTATTGTTTACATGATAGGGAGTGGGGTAGCTCAGTGGGTGAGCACTGAATTTCAGAGCTCAAGGTCCTGGGTTCGAATCCGGCTAATGACTAGTCATTTTTCATTAGCCGTGGATAAACCTTGGGTTCGGGAGACCCTCTTGTGGCATACCAAGCCTCTATAGCAAGAGCACACCAAGAGGCCTTCTGGTAACTGTATACTCCCCCACTATACCTCCACAAAATTATAGAAGAGAATAGACTAAGAATGTTGGAACATTTACGAAAAATAGAACCTACTAGTGAGGTCTATCAAGCCAATGTTGACGGAAAGAGAGGAAAACGTTCACCAAGAAATAAATGGAAAGAAGAAGTACAGAAGGATTTCCTGAAAAGATAACTCCAACGGAATGAGAGATGGCGCTTGGTGGAAAACTGGCAGGGCTGGAGTAAGCACTAAAGACTACCTTCTCGCAATGCATAGGGGATATTAAAGGAATTATTATGATGACAGCACATTTTTATACATTAATTATCTATTTGGTTCAACACAGATTTGCACATTGCAATACATGATAAAACTACTCGAGTATATGATATAAGTAACTATGATAATAGATGCGAAGAATGCTATTCGGAAGCCTGGAGGACTACTGAATTCTTTATTTTAGTCCCTCGCCTGGCCATCTAAGAGAAGAGCGTAGAAGAAGAAGAAGTTAATATAATGAACTATGAGTTAAATATTCGAGTTAAGATCGTTGTTGAACGGTGACGGGATAAGATTACCTTTAAAGAAATTGGTATAGAATCGCAGTCGTGGAAAGCCCCTCTGTGCCGAGCATGGGGAAAACACTCCTCATGTGACAGAAACAGATGCTTGTCATGGAAGCCAAAACATCTAATTGGAGATTGCAATCATGGAAAATCTGTATTGGGCTGCCATAAGCCCAATGTCAAATTATCAACGCCATAGGTGCTGAATAAGAAATAAATTAATATAATAATTATCCTAAAACAATTTCTATATGTACATATCACGTGATGGAGTGACAAAAAGAGAGTCCATTTTTATATTCAGCACCCTTTTCTTTTTTTAAACATGATTTAGCAAAAATAATGCATTAGAGACCTACCTAATGAGAAAATAATGAATAGAAACTTAAATAAGTGGTTAAATTATAAATAGGTAATGTATGAATAATTCATTGGTATAATCGTTAGATGACTAAGGGAACAAATGTAGGGTTTTTTTAAATTATTATTATTTGTTAATATAATTATCTATGGATTTCATCAAGTTAACTTAAATTATTTTTATTTTCATTAATTTATTTTATTTTGTTAGCACCCGGTTAAAGTAACGAATCTTTGCCTGTTGCACATTCATTACATTAACATGTTGTCGACGATGTGTGTTTACAGTTTTTAGTCGTTGTTTTTATTTTATTTACAGAAAAACTATGCTATTTATAAATTCAACATTAACAATCAAAGTATTTTACATGTAGATAATGATAAAAATAAAATAAACTTAATTAGACTTACTCCATATTCTGTAAGTCGATTAAAAAACATTTTATTAGACATAGCTACAGTTAGTTTTTTGTATGGACAGAAAGTGTAAAATCATTAAAAATGTGTTAGTTTATTGAAAAATAAATGCTGTTTCTTAATCGTAAAACAAATGCTAGAACATTTTTAAAAAAGAGCATTCCAATAGAAGGTCTAAATAAAAAATATTATTAAAATCATGAAGGTTGTGGTCTACATACAAATTATTTTGAATTATGATTTATACATATAGTTTCATAATAAAGTTCAAATCCATAGAAACTCATTAGTTTCTAACCTTCCGCCCTCTTCGAATCCTGACAATCCTCCTTGGTGTCTGAAAAGGAGATGGTATCGAGATTTTGGAATGCGTAGTTTCTCTACGAGAATTTTCATGTCATTATAGCAATTCACTTTTGCTTGTTGTATTTTAGTAGTGTAAATTTCAATTAATAAAAAAAATATTTATGAAGTTATTTAAAGGAGATTACATTAATTTTTATCTAAGTCTCAAAGATAATTAAGAAATAGTTTTTCTGATGACAAACAATTTAGCGCCACAGAAATATTGTACCGGAATCAAGAAGGTTACAGTTATTAATTTGGTCTTATTTACTGTATTGGAAACGATCCTACAAAATAACGTGTGCACAACACAGCGATTTAAAACAGGTAAGAGCGACGTAGCAGAGGACCAGAAGAGCCGGAGATCAGCTTGAGCGACCTTGCTTGGCAAGGTGAGGGCCGACTCATCCTCCAGCCCCCACCCACAACAGGACTCCCGCACTCTTTAAATATCTCCTGCCTTCCCCAGGGCGAGCATTTGTGAGGGTGCTCCGAGGTAGTGATATAATGGAGTCGGCAGTAAGTAGCAATCGCTGTGTAACCAGGATAGGAGTATGTTGCTTCTTCAACCTCGCCGTTCTTTCGCAGGTACTACTGTCGATGACGCTGTTCCTGGCGGCCGGCTGCAACGGAAAGCTCGACCGTGACGCCCAGGACTTCGAAGGATACCCGGTATCCAGGTCTTCAGCGGCACCTCCTTCCTTGTCCTCCGTTTATCCAAGTAAGGAAACAATTAAACTGAAATAGAGTCATGAATAATGCAATACATAATACATAAAAAGATTGTGATGTTAAATTCACTATTTATTCGAGCGACTATTTTTTTTTTCCATTGTGCGATTTTGATCTTTTTTATGTAATATCTTTTTACACTTATTTGGCTTAGATGAATTTAATAAATAATCGCAACTAGTCTTTAATCACTATTCGTTCATGAACTCTTATTTCCGCCTTGTCAGCAACTTAAGTAATATAATTAACATATTAAAGACTCTACCATGAATCAGTCATTTTCAACTTAAAAATACATAACATTTGAAAAAAATGTTTGTTCAACTTAATAAAACTTTTAGTTGGGTTACATCCATTGACCAAACATATTATTGAAGCATATCATGTAAGTAAATTATTTTAATAAATCTTTATAAAGTAATTTATATTAAGTTTAAATGTTATGTAAGTGAATTGTTATTTTAATAAATGTGTATAAAATAATGTATAATAAGTTTAAATATTATGTATTTAAAAGTTAAATACAACTGGTTCATTATAGAACCTATAATATATTAATTGTATTATTTTAGATGATGAAGATGGAGACAAAGATTCCCCAAAACGTTCTTGAATAAATAGTGATCATTGATGAACAAATAGTGTGAATACTTATTAAATTGAACTGACGATAAATGAGTGTGAAAAGAATCATTTTTCTTAATAACGGCAATAAAAATGATATCTGACAAACATCGGACAATATATACAGTTACTGGCATATTCTTTGCTATCATTAAGCAATTATTTATGTTTTTTCCATAATGTACTGTAGGCTTTCGACTAAATACAATACACATATTTATTTTACTGATTAAAATATAGCCATATTAAGAGTATCACTTTTAATATCCTGATTAGACCATATTGCAGAAATTTGAATTGAATCGTTTGAAATAATTTCTCTTATTCACTAACAAGAACATTTGTTATAGAAATACACAAAGTATAACTCTATATAAGATATTATATTAGTTTTCAAAAATAAAACATTTAAAATCCTCAGATTTTAAGTGATGATATGAGTCAGTGCTGAAGGCACTGAAGGCATTGGCATTGAGGACAACCACCGAATGATCTCATTTGCAAAACCAACATCGACTCAAGCGCCAGCAAATAAATAAATAAATTTCTTTTCGGTTCTAAAATATTATTTAATCGGAAATAAATAACAAATTGACCTATTTTAATAACTTCATTCCCAACTTATCTCAAAACAACCAGTTTTGGATGACTTTGTTCATTGAATAATGTTACATTACATAAAAAAGAGGGGGAATATATTTTCTTACAGTATATAAATTTTTTATTGTACCTCATTACGTTGTTTTTTTCCTATCTTTACTTCGAATATTTTCTTGATTGCCTATTACTTCACGTCATTTATTTATTTATGGATCATCTTGATGGTTTTTAATTGATGATTTAACTCTTTCTGAAGAATATCTATAAAAATAACAATAATAAATGGAAATCGATACAAATGAAAAAAAATATTTTCTTCCTTAGTTTCCGTCAGTTATAATATGAATAAGGAATTCTTGAACTGAGGAAATAACTAGTTTATCCGATAATTATGGAAAAAATAATGATACAAGTTCATCACGATTGACAGACTTCCTAATCAACAATCTTGAGCCACCATTGGAAAATAATTATTCATATGCTTGAATTAGTAATTCCGAAGATGACATGTAATGTATGAGGAAAGGATACATGAATAGATACATAGGTAGATTGATACAAAGAAAAACCTATGACACGGAGTTGTAACGTGAGGAATTGATGCTACCATTATATCTAAAACTATTAAATTTAAGTTAAAATTAATATTTTTAATCCACTAAACTTTATATTTTTATATTATAATATCAGACGTTGACAGACGTTCAAAATTATCTTTAACTAACAAACTAACCCTTTATAAAATCTTACTTAAACCTATTTGGACTTACGGCATAGAACTGTGGGGCTCTGCTAATACTTCCAACATTAAAAAAGTTCAGTCCTTTCAGTCAAAAGTGTTGCGAAGGATAGTTGACGCACCTTTTTATGTCGCAAATGACACACTACATAAAGACTTAAACGTACCTACAATTTTAGATACTGCAAAAGAGAACTACAATAACTTTCACCAAAGACTGACGTACAACATGAATCCTCTGACAGAAATCCTTCATCGTACAAGAAACCCGTACAGCCCACCACGACGATTACGTAGGCGTTGGCCAAGAGACCTGCTGATCTGATTCATATCCCGGACGTGATGGGAAGCTGTGAAGCTGCTAAAAAATTTGCTAAGAAATTTGCAGATTGCAAATTTAATCTAATGTTCCACATTTTTGTTTGGTTAATAAATAATAAATAAATATTATAATTAATTTAAATATATTTTTGTAATAAGTATTACAACATAAGGCGGGTACTATTTTGTAGTAACATTAAAATATACATTAGTCTGTATTAAATAAATTCAACCGTTAAATTTGAACAAATCAAAAATAATGATAAGAACAGACTTTTCGAGATATATTTCCTAGTGGTAGCATTTCCTAACTTGTTCTAAGTAAGCGATCCCAAAGCCATCTTCTCTTCAGGCGCCTAGGAGAATTTAACAGGAATCAGGAGGAAGCAAAACTGGAAACAAGTGATTCAGGTGGGTCCTGGACTTTATCATGAAAGGAAACATATCTGGATGCGTCCTCAATCTTTCATTATATCATCAATCAAGATAAAAATATTAATTACAACGTCACTCAGTTAAAGAATGTGAAAAAAAAAGGCATTTTCAAAATTAATTATTCTTATAAATTTACCAGAATCTATTTTGTAAAATAAAATCTTATAAATACAAATCTACTATTCAGAAAAATAAAAAAGAGCACAGATAACTGTTCTAATATGCCGAATAGTGAAGCTAAAAGTAAAGCGATGTAAATGTTAGTGTTGCCCAAAATCGGTCTTGGTCTTGCTGCCAAGACTTTGCAAGACCAAGACAAAGGCTGTCTAACTGTTGCAAGACCAAGACCAGGACTGTTATAATAAATCGATTTATTTCAATAACAATTAAGGCAAAATAGTAGCTAATACTCGACAATCTTAGTTACTATATGTTAATAATTGGTATAACCAATATACTTTTGCATTTAACGCCTCTAATTTTTCATTCGGGCTTAGTTTTCTCCTATCTAAAAAAATACAGTAATATCTCTATAGTAATAAGCTAATAATTAACTGCAAGACTCTTGCGCAAGACCAAGACCATGACCTAGACTGAGTTTGCAAGACCAAGACTCGTCTCGGTCTCGCATTAGGACAACACTAATAAATGTTGATCACACCAAAAGGACGGTAAAACATACCAAATTGGATAGTACTATATCAATATTTATTTTATATGTAAGAAAATTTAGTTATGATTATTATTTGTTTATAATTTTCAAATATATACTTTATTGCTATAATCATTGAAGAAAAATTCGTCTTAACAACGGTACAAATAATCCACGCTTAATGGTGGTACGAACTTAACCAAGGCTAATACGCCAGCAAATTCACATTCTATCCAAATGAAAACAATTTAATTTTTTTGGTTCCTAGTTTATTGAAAAAACACTTTTTTTTTTTTGTATCCGACTAGGAGCTATATGTTTTTTGTTTTAAAATGTGTTCACCTATTTTATTCATTTTTTTTAATCTATTTTTGTGGTCAATTTCATACCAATTTTATTTTGCATCCATTTTTTTATTCTTTTTTTAGTTTCGGTTTTTCAGTTTTTAATTTCTAACATACTGTATGGCGCCACGTGTTTATCACTACATATGCCAACCCTCGAGTAGATTTTCTCGAATGTCAAATACATTTTCTAATACAGCCTTATACTATTAACTGTCCATGAAAAAGATGAGGAGATGCTGAAAAAAGGGATTCTAAAAAATATCGAAACTTATTTAATTTGTACGTGAATTTATATTATACCTAAACAGAAGCTAAAAAACAAAACAAAATTCCATAAAATAGACAAAGAATTTTAAACAAGTACTGATGATCCTATTTGTTTTAAAATGTTTATTTTTTCTATAGCTCTGTGTATCTACTATACCAATACAGTATATATTTATCTTAAGTGAAATTACTATTACAGAAATAACAAGAGATAATAAACCTGAACTTGACACAAATGTGTCAAAAATAACGTGAAAAAGTTATTTTCCAAACCATCATCCATCCAATTATTATATTTATCGATGATTGCTATAGGTAAGGTCGAGAGGCAATTTTCTTTTCTTACGCATAGTAGAATTATGGGGAATTGTTTGAGAAGGTAGATTACTGAATAACGGGTTTTTGTGGTTATGAATTTTATAGTGGAAAGATGGATAGTTCGAGAATATGCTCTGTGAGGGTTAACCATAATCGTAAGTAAAAAGATGTAGCAGCCAAGGTTTCGCATTTGTTTATTTAGAAATGATATGTTAAGAGTATTTAATAGTTCAAATTAATATTTGTAAAGTCGATAGATAAGTTTAAATTTAAGATAGATCTAAAGTCGATGTCATGTGTTTGGCATTACAGGGTCCAGGATTTCATATTTTGGTGACTAACTTTTATTTTTTTATTTTCAATGGTAATTACTGTAACAATGATGAATGCTTTTAAGCATATTTTTTATATTGTTTTAACAAGTGCTTACATTTAGTACCTACATATACTAAGAGCTACCGACCATTTTATTTAACTGAAAGACGCAGTATTTAACGGATATTATATCTGCTAACATCCTTTTAAGATTCTAGATAAACTTCATCTGAACACACAACTTAATCAGTCGGTTGCTAGCCGGTGCTTTCTGTACGAACATTTAATTTGAAGTGACGAAATTTGTCGTACGAGTGCTGGAAATTTGTCGTTTTAGAAATTTATTGTTCATTTAACGGAAGAAATTTAGG